GTGTGTGTGTGTGTGTGTGTGTGTGTGTGTGTGTGTTTGTTTTGTTTTTTTCAAAATTAAAACAAGTCTTAACTTTGATTTCAGGATTTCAGAAATCTACAGTAATTTTTTCCAATTCAAAACCAAAACTTTCATTCATTGCCCTTTAGTACAGTGTTCTTACTACCTCACATGTTTAACTCATGTCCATACTGCAGGCAGAGGGGAGGGGAGTCAGACCTAGTGCTGTAAGACCGGACATTAGAACAGGAATGTTTTGAGAAGCCTGAGCATGGACAATGTGTAATCTGGGGCTTTGAAGTTTAAGTATTATGATTCCTAGAAGGGAAATAAGAACCTTGTCAGGTAATCAGTAATCTAGGATCCAGATGTTCTCATCCCTGGTTTTATCCAGTTCAGTCAGTTCAGACAGATTCTTCGACATAAGGGAGTCCAAATTAAGAAATGGTCTGTGGTAAGGGGGAAAGAATAAATCCCTCTGAAAAGTGAGACCTCTCTTAAAGATAATTCAACAAGTCTCCCTTAATCTGCTAAGACCATAGAAGGATGGTTCACAGCCTGGTGTTCTACATGTAGCTTATACATATATATACCCCTGCACAGGCTTCTCAGACCCTGGTATGTCCTCTGAGGTTTCACCGTCTTTTCTCAATGTCAGGCCCTCTTTCAGCTCATCTCCTTACAGCACTAAGTATGGCTGCCCTCCTACGGTTCTGAGTAAAATCATGTCTGCCTCAAATATATGTGCAGTGTGTGGATTTCCACTGTTTTTACAAAATTCCGATAATAACAGCAAAGTATTTGTTTGTGTGCCGAACTTTTCACAGTGTGCTGGAAGCTAACCTTTGAATGCATAAATAATCAGAGGCCAGTTGGCCAGTTAGGTTTATTATTGTCTCCCAAAGAATCCTATCATATTGGGTCAGGAAACAGAACAGAATGTATAGAGTAGTAAGAATAATAATAAAAAAAGGATGTTTATGATTTCTGAGACAGAAAATCTAAATGCTAACGACTTCATACACACTCATTCCTCACAGCCTGCGACGATCAGAGCCGGGAGATTTTGCACAGCAGCTACAACCTCACCAGCACCCTGGCTGCTGTCATACACTGTCACAGCAACACACCTGGGGAGGCTCTGGTGCTGCAGGTAAGCCCATCAATACAGTTGGTGTGCTGCTAGCTGGGGGTGAGACTCCATTACAATTACAGGAAACGTCGTAGCTGTTTTCACACAAACTGAAGCCCTGAAGTCTTCTAAACATTACCGTCAGCTTGTGCGAGCACAAATGTCTCTGCCAGTTCACAGTGACAGCACGGGTGTCGTGTGTCAGCTGTAGGACGTCAGATTGTAGATGAAAAAATTCAAAGACATAATTTTCATTAAGTGTAATAAAACTACTGTCCAGATAAAGTCATGTAGAAGTCTAACACGGTTGGTTGTTTTTTAACGCTTTGGTGCTTTGCCAAAATCACTGCAGTGTTTCAGAACTAGCAGAAAGAAAGTGCCGTGGTGCTTCTGCTCTTGGTGTCCTTGACATTTATACAAGTTAAAGCATATTTCATGAGCAAAATGTAAAATTGAGAATTGTGTTTTACAAGAAACTCTTTACCCCTTGAAGGCATACAAGGACTAAGCGCTGAAGCCCTTTCCTGTACTGAGCAGAACAAACTGTGTGTGCATCAGGAGCTCGTGAGGGTAGTTTCTGCCTGTGCAGACAAACCCAAAACTATTCCAATAGTGGTCAAACCAAATCTTTATTAATATAGATGTAGTAATTACCTGAAGCAGATTTATGACTGTACTATCTACTCGACAGACTTTTACCTTTTAGCTTTGAGTCTTTCTCTAAAACTGTCTGTGTCGTGTGTGTTGTGTTGCTCTGTATTTCAGTGCCTTCAGGTGCTGCAGAAGCTGACCTACAACACTCGCATCTTCCAGTCCGCCAGCTGCATCCACGAGCTCATCACTTTTCTCATGACCAACATGTGAGAAACACATCTCATCTCTGCCTTTATGTTATACTGAATTACTGCTCTTTATGTTTTGATTCATTATGTTTCAATTAACGAGATTACCGACGGTCTTTCATCACAGCCAATCTCAAAATGAAGACGTTGTCATGTCATGTCTCGGCCTCTTGGCCAATCTCTGTCGCGACAACATCTCCGTGCAGATCTACATCAAGTCTCTGGTGAGTTTCTGCTGATTCACATACAAGAGGAAGAGTTCTAAGAATTGGACGCCTGAGAAATTCATGAGCTGTAAACCACAATCATCAAAATTAAACCAGAAAAGGCCTTTAAATATTTCACAATACAATAATAGGATACTCTAATGTTTTTGAGATGCACTATTCGGTTTTTTGGGCCACATGCATTTATTGTTGGTGACCAGTAGGAGTGAAACTGGTTATGTTGTTTTGTAGGACAACGTGAAGCAGTTTTATCGCACACTGATCAACTTTCTGGCGCACAACAGCCTGACTGTGGTGGTCTTCACGTTGTCTATACTGGCCAGCCTCAGCCTGAATGAGAAGGTTGGAGAGAAGGTAGGTGAACTCTGCTGGGATCTGCGCTTAACAAAGTGTCTAAAGACGAAACAAAGAAATCTTTCTGTAAATGTTCACAGACTGGACTGAAAAAGAGTGAAAAAGCAGCTAACGTCCAAAAATAAGAAAACTTTGAAAGAACTCCAAAAAAACCTGGAGAACTTTTGCTCAAAAAACACTTTTTATAAAAAATTACAAGCCAATCTGACAAAATGTCATCAAATGAGACTCAAGACTTCTGCAGGTCTCTGCCATGACTCGATTTTCTTCTTAACAGCAGAAACAATTGTTCCTTTTTTACTTTGTTCCTATTTTCTCTTCTCGTTTTTATCTGTTGAACAGTAAACAACATTCATGCTGATTCACATAATATCCTGTCTCTAATCTCTGGGATTTCCTCGTAGCTCTTTGATGCAAAGAACATCCATCAAACGTTCCAGCTTGTGTTCAACATCATCGTGAACGGTGATGGTACTCTGACGAGAAAATACTCAGTCGACCTTTTGGTTGATTTGTTAAAGAACCCCAAAATAGCTGATTACCTAACAAGGTATGCAGATAATTCACAGCTCTTTTCCCGAACAGCTGCTTTAAAACTCCGCTGAAAGCCTTTGTCCATTTCCAGGTATCCCCACTTCTCGGCATGTGTGTCTCAAGTGTTAGGACTGCTGCATTCGAAAGACCCAGACCCTGCAGCCAAGGTGAGAGACGACAAATATGATAACCCACACCAGCTGTGCTTAACTCTGTAAGTTCCCAGTATTTCCTGAAACCATCACGTGTGACACAGTTTGCATCAGACGTGATGCCGCTGACGTCAACACTGACCTTCTAGTGGCAACAAAGTGGGTCGCTCTTAGACAGTAAATTTCAGTGCGGTTCGTGATGAGGTGCAAACTGTGCAACAAGCCCAGCCATGTGACTTCCTCGCTACTAAATATTCCACAGTCAGCTGTTAGTGGTATTATCACAAAGTGGAAGCGATTGGGAATGACAGCAACTCAGCCACAAAGTGGTAGGGCATGTAAAATCACAGGAGCAGTGCACAGAGATCACTACAGACCTCCAAATTTCACCTGGTCTTCAGAGTAGCTCAGAGGCAGCGCATAGAGACCCTCATGGATTGGGCTTCCATGGCTGAGCAGCTGCGTCCAAGCCGTACATCACCAAGCGCAACGCAAAGCTTTAAATGCAGTGATGTAAAGCACGGCGCCACTGGACTCTAGAGTGGGCAGATGTGTTCTCTGGAGAGACGTTGGTGGAGGGGGGATTATGGTGTGGGGTTGTTTTTCAGGAGTTGTGCTCAGGCTCGTCGTTCCACTGAAAGCAGCTCAAGGATACCAAAACATTTTGGACAATTTCATGATCACAACTTTGTGGGAACATTTTGGAGATCATCTCTCCGTGTTCCAACATGGCTGTGCACCAGAAACAACACAAGGTCCACAAAGACATAGATGAGTGAGTTTGATGTGCAGGAATTCGACTGGCCTGCACAGAGTCCTGACCTCAACCTGATAGAAGGCCGACCCTATGAATGAAGCATGGGATGTCACTCAAGTTCATATGCACATGAAGGCAAACAAGCAAGTCCTGCTCAAACAAAAGGTAGCACTCAGTTAAACTTCAGGGATATGAGCATGTCCAGGTAAGAAGCAGAAGCCTGGGTGGATCCGTCTCACCTACTTTGATGCAAATCACAACAAGAGGAGTGCGTTCAGCATGGCTGAGGGATAGAAAGCTGTACTTTAGTCTTAGTTTTGTCTTTATGGCTCTGAGACGTCTGTCTGAACATCAGCGAATTATTGTTAACGTCTGCACCATCACGGCGTCTTCAAGCAGCACAAAAGCTTTGCATCAAATCACGGAGCAACTTCAGGATATGCTCACGTCTGTTCAGTGCAGCCACTGAACTACATTCTCCTTTCAAGGCTTACAGACACAAACTCACTCATTTCTGCACTTTAACACATAAAATTGATATATTTAAAAACATAAAACAATAAAATGAATTTCTGAGGTAAATACAAATGTTTTTTTGTTTTTAGACAAATAATTCCTTTAAATATTTCTTACTGCTCGTTAATAAGACAGAAAGAAGTATTTCATATCCTGTTACTTAATCGATTGTTATCAATTTGACGACAACACACCACACTTGTACGAATCACAGTTTCAAAGTTCTAAACTTGGCTGACATTGAAGACCTTTGAGGTTTGACCAGAAGAACAATCGATCCAGCGAACGCTGAGGGTCACAGAGGGAGAGCTGCTGTTTCAGGAGCTGCTGCCGACAAACCAGGAAATAAATGCAAGGAATATTTAGTCTTTAAAAATGTTAATGTTGTTTTTTTGTAACAGCCTGCTCTCTCATTAGTTGTGTGTGCAGGTTTAAGTGGTTACGTTTGAGTTGAACGATTCTGCAGCTGTCAGCGTTTTTATCAACTGCTGCCTTATAAAGAGACTGTGCAATACATTAAATGTCATGATGAGTTCATTTTTAGTTATTCTGGAAGAACAGAAGCAGAAATGACCTCATACTTTCTTAAACTGAAAAACTAAACTGAAATGATAAAAATCTTCTATCAAAAACTGGAACTAAACTGAACTAAAAAGAAACAATAAAACGTCCCAAAACCCGAAAGGATTCAACTTGTTTTCTTACATTTGTTCAGGAGTTTAAACAGAAACTAAAATTGATTTTTAAATTTAGGAAACTGTTGATTTTAAAGTCACTCAGTGTGTTTCCTTGAAATGAAAACGTGATGCTGTAAAATATCAAAAACCGCGAACGCAAGAGGAAGCAGGGCAGGGGCTTCACAGCATGTTGGTTGCACTTTACCTTTGATGTTTGAATTGAAGAATGAAACGCTGTAAAAACTGTAGTTAATAGTTTTAATATTAACAAAACAATACAATTATGTTGTTTAACTGGTTCATAGCTGGTTTGCAAACCTTTTTTTTGTGATCTCAGCTGAAAAGCTGTTGGACATTTGTTGGTTATTATTTGGTCGATGGTTTTATATCACAAGACTGAACTCGTTCAGTTTTGCTTTCATCTTTCATGTTTTGCTTTCGCTACCTTTTCCATGATGCTCAGGAACTAATAATGCAGGTTTAGGAACTCATCATGGTTTGGGTTAAAATATCAGGAGTGAAACCTGTGACAATGTGTAACGTGACATGTGTCACAAAAGCAACGGCAACAGATTTTTTTTAATAGATACTTTTTATATACATACTAACATAAATATACAAATGTGCCATTATAATATTATTAATAATGATAATAATGTTGCAAAATTTTTTGTTATATATAGATTCGTCTGTTCACAATTTATCAATAAATAAATAGATATTCAAGTTTCAGTGGTACAAAACTGAGAAAAGTATCAGATGTTTGTTGCAGTTTTATTCGATTTTTAGTCAATTCTGTGATTATTATAAGCTTGAAGCTGCTGCTCGTATTACTCACAGGTTATGTTGAAATTTGGGTGTTTTGTTCTCTGAAGTTTATCTAAAGATTGTAAGCAGATGCATGAAGATGCTTCTGCTGTCTACTGTGAATATGATCAGACTGTTCCTACTCTTAATCAGCATCCATTCTAACATATAAGACAGAAAATGGAAAAGCATTATCGGCCTACCTTGAGTTTTACTGCATGATTGCACACTTGCCTCTTTCTGCAGCCTATTTTTGGATAAAGGGGAAGGAAAGCCTTTGTAAGCCATGCTCAGCTGCTACAAACCTTCATCTTGATGTGTGTTATGTGTGTGCTTTGCAGGTGTTGGAGCTTCTCCTTGCCATGTGCAGTGTCTCAGTTCTGCGCTCGCTCCTGTGCGAGGTGGTTTTCAAACCGGCGGGACCTAAACTCAGAGCCGCAGGACGGGACGGTGGACGCAAGGCGCAGTGTGGGCTGGCACTGGTGCAGTGTCTGAGCTCGGCCGTGGAGGGTGGCGAATCTTGCTCTCTGCAGGTCCTGCAGCTATTGAGCGAGCTACTGGAGGTAAGGTAGCCCCACTGGGATACAGGGGAGCGGTCTGACAGTGGCAGAACCTTTTCTTCTGATTACCTGGAAGCTGTAGTCATGATTAAAATAAAATTTGTTAGCTGTCCACCCACTTCTCTTCCTGTCCTCTCCATCCAGGAGACGCTGGGAGCAGAGAGTATGCCTGATTCTACACTGAGCTTTGTGGAAATGTTGCTTCCGACACTGTTAGGGCTGCTGAAGGGCCTCAATCTCTCACAGGGAGATGCTCACCTGAGAAAACACTGTCTCCGCATCAGCTACGTCACCAGCCTGCTGCTAAATATCCTTCACGTGACCCCGCCGCCCTGCAGTCTGTCTGTATCTGCACATTAGGGGTGGGGGAAAAAATCGATACTGTGTAGTATCGTGATATTTTGTTTGCTAATAATGTATCGATACAGGGACAGCAGAAATCGATATTTTG